GGAGGTTAATGACTCCTCAATTCTACTCCTCGTGCATTATACTCGTTATTGAGATAGTTATCCTCCTTACCTAGTTTCCCTAGCAATGAAAATTTTGATTTTTAATGAATTTTTCCTTCCCTAAGCTTTAAGCCCTCTTTCTCCTCTTTGCCTCTAACTCAGTTTTCACGTACTAATGAAAATTCATCTAACTTAGGTTGTCCTCTAATTATATACTTAAGTTTAATCTAATTAAAATTACAAACTCATCTCTCAGTTACTAACATTCTCACTCCTTTCTCCCTTCCATTTTTCATAATTCTCAATTCAACCCAAAACTCTCTATTTTTCATTTAATTAATTAAATCTAATAAAAATACTAGTATTTTAATTATTATAATTTCCAATAATAGTAGCTCATTTCTACTAATCTCTAATTACTCATACACTCTCACCTCGAGGTTATACACTCCCATCACCCAATTTAATTCAATTATCACACATAATAATTAAATTAAAATACAAATAAAATAAAAAAATTAAAACAGAGGTGTTACAATGCTCATACGGAAGTTTATCAGATACTTGAACAATTTGACTTCTTTCTAAATCATCATATTTAATTTGAAAATATTTTAATTCATTTGTTTTCAATTTAAAATGATTTTTCAAAATTTTCATGTGTCCGACTTTCTCTTGACAATGATCCATAAGGTCTTGAATTAAAGTAGTTAAACCATAATGAGAGAGTTTAGAAAATACATCATCTTCTTCTTTAGAATCTGAACAAGAATCTAATTCAGATTTTGTGTCGAAAGATGTTAGAGCCATCAAAGCCAGATTGGCTTCTTCTTCATCTTTGTCAAATTCTTCTTCTTTGTCAAGTTCATCCAATGTTCCCGTGAGACTCTTCTTAACTTTATTTCTGAATTTGTACTTCTTATAGCTTCACTTCTTTGACTTGTCCTTCTGTAACTCTAGACAGTCAACAATGAAGTAACCAGACTTTTTGCAATTGAAGCATACCTTATGGTCATCTTTCTTATCTTTGGAACTAGATCCTTTGAAGTCATTGCTTCTTCTCGAGGGTCTTCTGTTCTTCTTAGCCAAGTAATGAAATCTCTTGATCAAGAATGCAATATCCTCATCATCTGAGCCTTCTCTGAAACCTCCTGCGGAAGGTGCTTCTTCAGATTCCCAGGCTTGAGGAGATTTGGCAGGTTGACCAACATATCACAAAGTTAGAGACTTGAGTTTCTTAACAAGTTCATCTTATCATACCCCATTTTGTCCAATCAAACATAGGTCAACCATTTAGGTTAGACATGATGTTAGCCTGAGATTTTGGTGCTTTCATTTATATGTGTTGCCTTGGTCTTGTCATTACAATCCAGTTAGGTCATCCGTGCATTGCTTCTAAGTCCTTGCATTACATTTGTTGAGCCTTTTGTCCATGGGTCATTTTGTATGTCTAAAACAATTGACTTTGTTTGAGCCTCTAAGTCTTTGATTTGGCCACTCTGATTTCATCTGATACATATGTTTTATCTGAGGCTTTACATTAATCTAAATCTCCTAATGTCATCGGATACCTTAGATTTCATCTGAGCCACTTTCATTTAAGCCTGTGGCCAACCACATTGACTTAAAAGTAAAAAAGGGACTATTTTGAGTTTTGTCCCTTTTATTAATTATTTATTTATTCTCATTACCATTCTTTAATATTATCATCATTAGTAGTAATATATTACTATTATTATTATTATTAGGGTCAAATATGTTTTTCATCCCGATAAATAACTAAAATTTAGTTTTAATCCTTACAAACAATTTCTTTAAATAATGGTCCTCCTAAAGTTTTTCATCTACAATTTTGATCCCTGCCGTCTACTTTCTTTAACAGAAGTTGGTGTGGCACTCCATGTGACACACCACGTTATCTAAAAAAACTAATTAGATTTCGGGGGTTATAAACCTCCCTAAATCTATAAATTATTTCAGGCATTTCATCAAACAGCTTCTGAGCATTAAGGATGTTACACTTGATAGTCTCCACTTGATAGTCTCCACTTGATTGTGATACATCAACCAGAAAACAAAGACATTGCCCAATGAAAACGTAAATCATTTTGACACCGAGTTATTCGATTTAGAGCCAAACCAACAATGGTTGAATAAAGGAGCCAACCTAAGGAAAATCTTTGTTTGTCATTCGAACTTGCAAACCCTTATGTCCCTCTCTGTAAAACACCGAACTACTTTATTATTGTTGGTAAGATGTTTTTTGAGCATTGAAAAGGAAGGCTTCATCGTATATCTACTAGTATGTCAAGATATTGAAATTTAAACTTATACTATAATTCATAAGCTTAAAATTATATGCAATGTAGTTGAAAAGTTAAAATTGCATCAATATATGATCTTTATTTTGCATTACCCTAATACTACGTGTTGCATTGGTCTTGTCATTCCAGTCTAGTAAGGTCATATGTGCATTGCTTCTGAGTCCTTGCATTACATTTGTTGAGACTTTTGTCCATAAGTCATTTTGTATGTCTAAAATGATTGACTTTGTCTGAACCTCTAAGTCTTTGATTGGGTCACTCTGATTTCATCTGAGACATATGTTATCTGAAGCTTTGCATTAATCTAAATCTCCTAATGTCATCGGGTACCTTAGATTTCATTTGAGCCACTTTCATCTAAGTATGTGGTCAACCATATTGACTTAAAAGTCAAAAAGGGATTATTTTGACTTTTGTCCCTTTTATTAATTATTTATTTATTCTCATTACCATTCTTTAATATTATCATCATTATTAGTAATATATTACTATTATTATTATGGTCAAATATGTTTTTCATCCCGATAAATAACTAAAATTTAGTTTTAATCCTTATAAAAAATTTCGTTAAATAATGATCCTCCTAAAGTTTTCCGTCTACACTTTTGATCTCTGCCATCTACTTCCTTTAACGGAAGTTGGCGTGGCACGCCATGTGACACGCCACATCATCTAAAAAACCTAATTAGATTTTGGGGGTTATAAACCTCCCTAAATCTCTAAATTATTCCAGGCATTTCATCAAACAGCTTCTGAGCATTAAAGATGTTACACTTGATAATCTCCACTTGATTGTGATACATCAACCATAAAACAAAGACATTGCACAACGGAAATGTCAATCATTTTGACACCGAGTTATTCAATTTAGAGCCAAACAAACAATGATTGAATAAAGGAGCCAACCTAAGGAAAATATTTGTTTGTCATTCGAACTTGCAAACCCTTATGTCCCTCTCTGTAAAACACTGAACTACTTTATTGTTGTTGGCAAGATGTTTTTTGTGCATTGAAAAGGACTGCTTCATCATATATCTACTAGTATGTCAGGATATTGAAATTTAAACTTATACTATAATTCCTAAGCTTAACGTTATATGCAATGTAGTTGAAAAGTTAAAATTGCATCAATATATGATCTTTATTTTGCATTACCCTAATACTATGTGTTGCATTTTTCTTGTCATTACAGTCTATTTAGGTCATATGTGCATTGCTTCTGAGTCCTTGCATTACATTTGTTGAGCCTTTTGTCCATAGGTCATTTTACATGTCTAAAACAATTGACTTTGTTTGAACCTCTAAGTCTTTGAATGGGTCACTCTGATTTCATCTGAGACATATGTTTCATCTGAGCCTTTGCATTAATCTAAATCTCCTAATGTCATCGGGTACCTTAGATTTCATCTTAGCCACTTTCATCTAAGTCTGTGGTCAACCACATTGACTTAAAAGTCAAAAAAGGACTATTTTGACTTTTGTCCCTTTTATTAATTATTTATTTATTCTCATTACCATTCTTTAATATTATCATCATTATTAGTAATATATTATTATTAGGGTTAAATATGTTTTTCATCCCTATAAATAACTAAAATTTAGTTTTAGTCCTTATAAAAAGTTTCTTCGAATAATGGTCCTCCTAAAATTTTCCGTCTACACTTTTGATCCCTACCGTCTACTTCCTTTAACGGAAGCTAACGTGGCACGCCATGAGACATGCCACATCATCTAAAAAAACTAATTATATTTTGGGGGTTGTAAACCTCCCTAAATCTCTAAATTATTTCAGGCATTTCATCAAACAACTTCTGAGCATTAAGGATGTTACACTTGATTGTGATACATCAACCAGAAAACAAAGACATTGCACAACGGAAACAAAAATCATTCTGACGCCGAGTTATTCCATTTAGAGCCAAACCAACAATGATTAAATAAAGGAGCCAACCTAAGGAAAATCTTTGTTTGTCATTCGAACTTGCAAACCTTTATGTTCCTCTCTGTAAAACACTAAACTACTTTATTGTTGTTGGCAAGATATTTTTAGAGCATTGAAAAGGACTGCTTGATCATATATCTACTAGTATTTTTGTGTAAGCAAAATATTATTAAAGGGAGAACTAAGAGAAAACCCGGACAAAAGAGATATTACAAGCCAATTACCAATTACAAGAGGAAAAACAAAGGATCTTTGTTAAACTCGTAAAAACTACAATTGGAATGAGTAATATCACCAAAATAAATACCACTTCCAAACCAAAGTTTTAATGTACCAAATTGTATCGTTAAAATTCCAGTCCTCGTTCCGGAAACAAACCTCATTCCTTAATAACCATATGATCCAAGTAGTTGCTAACCAAATAACATCTAACTTGCCCTCTTTCATCTTTTTAACCCAACAAAATAAATATCAATCCATGAAATTCGAAAAACAATCTTCCTCCTCCATAACCAATTTTCCAACCCAAGAAGTTATTTCCTCCAAACCTTTTTAATCATACTACACAAGAAGAAAGAGTGATCCCTATTTTGCATATCTATACCACAAAAACTACAACTTTGTAACTCTAAAGGAAAATTAATACCTTTATACATCAAGAGATCCTTTGTTGGAAGTCTATTAATAAGGAGTCTCCAACCAAAGACTTCAATCTTGAATGGCACTTCCGCTTTCTAAACCAAACCCAACACCGAATCATACCTAGTAGACGGGCGAAAAGGAACCCGAAAACTAGCAAGGAACGCGTAAATCAAAGCTATCGAAAATCCTCCATCTAAGTCTAGCAACCATTTAACTGAATGCGCCCCTTCCAAGACACTACTGAAAGCCTCCAATTTCCTCTTTAAAAACAAAAAATCGGCCAACAACATTGGATTATTACCCACAACCGCGAAAAGCCCGAGATTTCCCCACTTCCACCTATCCTCACTCCAACCCCCATGCCCGCCACCGAAACTCTCTTCAAACAAGAAAGAAAAAATAATGTCAGATATTCCTCCTTCAAAGATTTATCTTTTATCCACTTAGCCTCCCAAAAAGGAATCTTGAAACCATTGCCAATATTGAACTTACTATTAGAGACTATAGGATCTTTAAAATGAGTCTTCCCTAACAACATGATATCTTTCCACCATGTAGAACAAGATGAGGAAACTTTACAATGATCTCCTCCCTTTTAAATGTCAGGATATTGAAAGTTAAACTTATACTATAATTCCTAAGCTTAACACTATATGCAATGTAGTTGAAAAGTTAAAATTACACCAATGAATAGCTCCCTTATAGAGAGACCCAGGCTTAGACTGAGCCTCAAGGATATAAGGGAAGTGAGGACCCTTAACTTGTTTCCATGTATTAGCTTTCAATGAGTAATACTCCAAGTGTAATGGAGGAGCATTATAATGATACATTGAAACAACCAAGTAATCTTCGGTTGAATCGTCGTACCCAAAACCATAGAAATATTCAGCTTCTAAATCAGAACCAAAAGGAGATAAAGGTATTCTTTTGTGAACTCCAGTGGATGGATTCCATACGTAGATGTTTAAGGAGCCGCAGAAAAGTATGAACCCTCTGCATGACCCTTTAACTGGAAAATTAACGGTAAAATACTCTGGAAAGATCCAATCAAGGTTGGGTGAAATGCCACTGTCAAGCGATGCTTCGACATCGATGGATTGCGTTGAATTTGATATATGTAGAATTCTACAATTGGGTTCTGTGGCTGTGAGTTGAAAATGTGATTTTGCAAAGTGTGAATCATGAGAGATAAGAGAAAGCCATAACTTACAAACACACTTGAAGTGTATAAGAGACTTTACCGGCAACCTCAGTAAGATTTGAATGACCAACTCGTGAGGAAGAATCATCGTCAATCTTCTTCTACCATTGTCGTTTCTGAGTTGCAGCGCATCTAGGTTATAGATGAAATATGAAAGAGGAATTGGGCTCCAACCCAACAGCCCATTCATATTTTACTAATACAGCCCAAAAAAACATATCATCACAAAACTAACATTCTCTTGGTGTATACAAACTTTTTTTTCTTTTATAATTCTCACTCAATTTCAAGAATTTCTCACGAATTTTATAAAATTCTTGGAAAATTATCTTATGTATACATTATCATCAATTGTTAACTTAATAAAAGTTACACAAGTGTGTCTGGAAGGAAGATAAATTCTAAATTCTGGAACAAAGGGTTTTCAAGAAAGATGATTTATGGAAGAGGAAGAAGAAAAAGAGAGTTAGAGAGATATTGAAAGTATGTTGTGATTCTAACTGAATTGTAAAAATCTGTTATTGATTACGCACACTGATTACAAACTCAACACCCCTTTATATAGGTAAATAATGATCAGGCCCAATTAGACAAAACACACTAAAGCCCAAAACATGATTTTGACATACTACAATATCTGTTGTATTCAACTCTGTTGAATACAGCTTATAACCTATACAATAAGCTATTCGACATATACCACACATGCATTTCGATAGAATAAGAATTATACTCCTAACACACACACCCAATTCATGTTCTCTTTAACTCGTCGAATATGAATTTCTTCAGAGTTTTGGTAAATATGTCAGTTAGTTGCACTTCTGTCTTGCAATGCTTTATCTCAAGCTTCCATTTGTTGACTTGATCCCTCAGAAAATAATACCTTCTTTCTATGCGCTTACTTCGACCATGACACACTAGGTGATTCGCCAGGTTAATAGCTGACTTGTTGTCAACAAACAACTTCATCTTCTTAGGTCCCATTATTCTGAGTTCTTCAAGTAACATTTTCATCCATACTGTTTGGCATGCAGCATATGGTGTAGCCATATATTCTGCTTCGCATGATGACAAAGCCATAATGCTTTGCTTCCTCAAACTCCAAGAGATTAAAGCACCTCCGATCATGAAAATGTAGTCTGCAATACTTTTCTTTTAGTATTGATCTCCACTGAAATCTGAGTCAATGTATCTATAAACTTCGACATATGTGTTGTTCTTAGACTTCTTTGGTAATAACATACCATGATCAAATCTTCCCTTTATGTATATTAACACCCTTTTTACTGCGATGAGATGACATTCTTGTGGTTTCTCCATAATTCTACTCAACAATCCTACACTTTGACAAATATTTGGTCTAGTATTGCAAAGATATCTCAAGGATCCAATGATTTGTTTGTAAAGGGTCGAACTTACAAACTCATCATTTATTTCCTTTTTCAACTTTGCTCCAGTTTCTAACTGAGTGACAACTTCATTACATTTGCTCATTTTAAACTTCTTCAAAATATCTTAAGCATACTTCGTTTGATGCAAGAATACTCCTTCTTAAGTATATTTAAATTCCATCCCTAGGAAATATGAGAGATTCCCTGAGTCGAACATTTCAAATTCCTACATTAATTTCGACTTTACCTTCATTATCTCAGCTCTGTCTGCTCCTGTTATGTGTAAATCATCAACATAGAGGCATAAGATGATCCTACTGACATTGTTGATATCATTTACATAAACTCCATGTTCAGAGACACACTTTATGAAACATGCTTCGATCAGGAAGCTATCTATTTTCTGATTCTAAACTTTCTTGTTGAATCTTGATTGCAATGCCTGTCTAGTCACCTTATCTCTTTATGAGTTTCTCTGCTTCAACCTCATTCATGAGCCTCCAATGAAGCTTAAAGTTCTTCCAACTTCATCATAAATAAAGTCTTGGCCTCTTCAACTGTCACAACAATGTAGTCAAAATCTGCAGTTAAAGATCTCAACACCTTTTCTATCTTCTGCAGATCCGTAACCGATTAACCATATGCCTTCATCTGGTTTGTTAGTGTCACAATTCTTGAGAAATATACAGAAATTTATTCATATTCTTTCATCTAAAGCATCTCGCATTGCTTCCTTAGCGTCTACAACTTCACCTTCTTCAATTTATCATCTCCACCATACAAGTTCTTTAGATTTTCCCAAGCTCTTTTTGTTGTTTATTATTCAATTATCTTCTCAAATACATCAGAATCCACACACTGGTGAATCAAGAATAGTGTTTTACCATCTTTCTTTCTTTGATGTTTGTGTGCAGTTTTCTAAGCTTTTGTTGCATTTTCTTCCAGTTCTGATACTCCATCATTAAAGATTTCAACAACATGGTTAAGGAATTAAAATAAATACTAGTTAAGGGATTCATGCCCATCGGCATGCAAACCGTGCCCCTCGACACAGAAAATGGTGTTGGTCGGCACCCTTCATCAACACACATGTGTCTCTCGACACATGACCATAATTCCAGTTGCAGTTATGCAACTACGTCCAAACTTTCCTGCGATCAATAATTTCTTTCCTTCCCATGATTTCATACCAACACAACAACTATACTCACATCAATGTATGCAAATTTCCAAAACTCAATTCATCAATTGAATCACTACAATGTTAGCCAAATTATCACAGATTCCAAACAACAATTTATCCATACAACAATTACACACAACAACATTTTCATACAACCCAATTCCCATGTGTGATACGGTGGGAGAACTGACTTGAGGTTTTGCATTTGTTTTCGCAAATGTTTCGGTTGAGCAAGAGTCTCCACCGACTTTTTATTTTATCCTAAGGAAAGGTTAAAAAGCACAACAAAAACCTTTGAGATGTTTTCTTGGATTCGGGGAGTAGATTATAGAAAGGGAAGGTATTAGCACCCTTTCTATCCATGGTTATCCATGGGCTCTTAGTTACTTGCTTAGATCACTTGCCTTGCATTTTCAATTGTTTGAAATGGTGCTTTCAATTGTTTGAAATGGTGCTTTGTGTGTGGGTTTGAAAATGTTTTGAAAAGAGGCCATTTGTTGTGGCAACCTTTGTAATGATCCATGTTTGAATGTATACAAAGGTGTACTTATCTTTTGAAAAGTTTTCAATGTTTTTGAAAGTTGTTTTGAAAGTGTGTTGTGATGTGTGTTTTGAAAAATGGCAAGGATGTTTTGCAAGATTTGGTCAAGCAACCAAGAGTTATCTACCCTAAATTTCTCAAAGATCTTTCCTATGTTTTAACCCTTTTAACAATTTTGTTCCACCATTGTATTTGGTGGACAATCTTGTGTTAGGATGTTAACGGGACGGGCGCGGGGCATCGTTTAGACCATGATTGCAATGGTGCCAAGTATCTTTGGCAACTTTTCCTTTAAGAGACTTGATCATTTTTAGGCAACTTTCGAAAGCGTCATCGAGGGACTATGATCATTTGATTTTGTTTTGTTTTGCCAAAAACACTCAACATGCAACATGGCCCATTATTGAAGGCAACAAGTGGAGTAACCCTAGGGGTGCAAGTGTGATTGGTGTTGTCCATTTTCATGCTTTTTTGTCTTTGAATTAGGTCAAACTATTTGTTGTTTTTGATTTTTGCATACAAACCCTAAGTCTATCATGGCATATTTAGAAAGCTTTTAAATGTGAAAAATAAAATCCTAAATTATTACAACACAATTATGGGATGGGGGGTACAAATGTTCAAATGGGGATATTTTAGCAAGAAATTAAAATCTAAGCTATTACATCCAAATTGAATATACAAGTATTAGAATTGTACAATAATTAAATAAAATACAATAAATATGCAAGATGCAAAAAAGATTTTTATATGTATGTAAAAGTATTTTTCATGTGTCATATAAACAAAAATAAAAGGTTAATTTTTGGGTGTTTTTCATGTTTAGGGCAAAACCCTAATTTTGCAAATAAATAGTATTAATGATTTATTATATACAATATTTATTAGTTATGTACAAAAAATAAATAAAAAGGAAGTATATTGTAAAAAAGTATTTTTGAGGTTAAATATTAATAAAAATAAAAATGTATTATTTTTGTATTTTTATCCTAAATATTCTAAATATATAAATATTTATATTATGTATTAAATATATTAAATATATACAAAAAATAAAAATATTTATTATTTACAAAAAAGTATATTTTTTTAGAAAATGTTTTCAAAAGATAAAATAAAAATAAAATCAGAAAATAAAAGGTTTTTTGTATTATTTTTTAGTATTTTAAATAAAAGGATATATGTTTATTTATATGTATAAACTCAAATAAAACAAATAAAATGCAAAAATGGCTGAAAAATATTTTTAATATTTTTTATGTTTTGACAAAAAATAAACAAGTCAGAAACAAAAAGAAAAAGTCAAAAATAATAAAAATAAAACACAATGGGCCAAGGGGGTGTATGTGGAAAATAGGGGTGTAAACAGAAAAACAAAACTCAGGCCCAGCCCAAGTCTATCTTCTTCAACCTCCAGCCAGTTTTGTTTGAAAATTCGCGCGCTTCCTTGCTTCAACAACAAACTCCTGATTCTTTGATTTTCAGCCAAAACTCACAACATAAACTATGTAGAGCATTAAATCACGAATCCATACATATAAAAAAGTTCTTCTAACTCTCAGAAATGAGAGAATTTCCTCTCCCCCAATTTTTAACCTAAGTTTTTTTCAATGTTCATGTCTTAAATTCTCTCAGCACACACAAAATAAATGGAAAGTGAGGATATGGGTAGCTTCAGGGCCATGAGTAGGACATGTTTCATTCATAAACCTAAGCCTAACTCTTCCTAGATTGAGAGATAGAAGTCCATGTTTTTACCTGTTCAGCTTGAATCGTGTACTGCAATGTGAGGACTTGTACAGCTTGCTTGAAGTTCAGGGATGCTTCTCCAGTCTCTAGCTTGCTTTGAAACTGACTGAAACGAGCTATGGAAGTTCACCTGCAAAACTGAAAAATGAAAATGGCAGATGGGGTTAGGAGTGTTACAGCTGGTGTTTAGGGCTTGAAACAGTTTCGAGGGATGGTATGGA